CGCGGTAATCACTGAGAAAGTTCCATGTCAATTAACAGCTGGGCCGAGCCAAAGGACCTGGTGATGTCCTTGCCCCCTAATTGGCAGCAGGGAGAGGAAGTGTCTGCTGTCAACCCAACTTGAAAGCTGGAGGATAAAATAGAAAATGGGAAGGGGGGGGGGGGGCGGCATTAGCTGAAAATTGTGGTTTGCCTAACCCCCAATAGCCCATCGTTATGGTCAGGAATAAAAAAAAAATCTAAAAATAATAATAATAAATTTAAAATGGTGTCCCACATTATAGAAGACTGGCTCTCTCAGCAACTGAGCTGCACGGCACGTAGGTTCAATTAAAATGACCCAACTTTCGGGGGGGGGGGAGGATGTGTGGGCGATGGCCGTGTGCGGTCGCTGACTGGGGGTGGGGGGCAGCATGTGACTGTGCCAGAAATCCAGAGAGCGTTTCCCTTACTCGGCATAATTTGCCCGAGGCAGGGAGGGGACAGGATAGGGGACAGATATTCAAATATATGTCAACAATGCATATATATATATATATATATATATATAATACATAAAAACTTAAAATAAGTATAAAGAAGCGATAAATTGTCCAGATGAGTTTGAAATACTTCTTTATGATTCAGTTAGGTAATATAGTGTCACTAAGAAAAACTTATTCATGCAAGGAAACAGGGACCCAAAAATTCTTAATCAGTTGTGCTGCTGAAGAGGGGAAACCCTGGAGCCACGTTGTGTGCACACATGGGGGGGGGCGTGACCCCGACAGGAAGCGGGCGGTCAGCGGTGTGTCGTGCGTGGTTCGTACGCATCTCTGTGCAGACCTGCCTGACAGACTGGAGACAGACCATTAACACAAACTGGAGCCTCCCATTCAGCTTCTGACTCCGGACACTCGGGTCGACTCCAGGAGCGAGGGAAGGAGCTGCTCCGCAATTCCTGGCCTCCTCTTTGCGCTTTTCCAGTCATTTGTGACTTTCATTTCTGGGCTCCAGAAATCCCCTCCTTTTCCGTATGTTTCCGACTGGAAAAGCCGATTCCCAGCTTGTAATTGTGGTTGTCAGACAAGTGGATGTGGAAACCACGCATAACAGCTGGAGGTGCTTTTTCCAAACGTGGGTTTATTTTTCCTGAAGAGCTGTCCTGTTGCTCGGCTAACAGCTAATGCCGATTAGAAGGAGGATTCATCAACGTGGGCTTTTTCAAGCGGCGTCTCACGCTGTCATTTTAATCTCGTCTCTGGCCCACATGACGACTGCTGACCCCCGAGCGCTGCGGCAATTTGAGGAGAAATTCCCTCTCCGCCTGAATGGTGAGGGAAAGCCGGGGGAAGGATGTTGGAACGATGATCCAGACATCCAATATCCATGCTCCCCGGGGAGAGGTGGGTGGGGAGGAATGCAAGCAGCAGGGGAAAACCGGCCTCTTCCAGCCTGGACTCAAACCATGTGGAAAAAATGGCCCCGTGGGCTCTGGAGGACGAGAGCTGCACTCCGACTCTGTGAGTGATTAGTGTGGGCTTGCCAGCGGCACCGCCGGTCAGGCATATGTGTCGAGGGCAGAGAGCGGCCCTCGGGCAGTGCGCTGTCGGTTTGGGACGCAGACTTTCCCCGATCTCCTGAGGGATGGAGGAAAATTGGAGAAAGGCCGTGGGGGCAACACAGCCCGAGGGTTAGATGGATAATCCATAGCTTGGCTCATACTTGAGCCCCCTTGTGGTTGGCTGGGTGCTTGCAGCTTGCAGAGCAGGCAGACGTGCACCCCTAACCATTACGGCGAGCCTGGTTCCCGTCCACGCATTTCTGCTGTGTTTGGCCTGGTCATTTATAGGGAGAATGATCGACCCATTCTGTCTGTTTACTAAAACGTGAAATCCAGTAACTTCTATGCCCACTTCTTTTCTCAATGGCAGGCTTATTTGCCTCGCTATGTTTACTCTACTGATTGTCTTCATCTGTTACCACAAACCTTGAAATCACCGTTAAACAAGGAAATTATGAGTGGGAGGATCTTATGTGAAGACGTGGTCTGGGAGTCTTTCTGTGTCATGCAGGACGCATGAGGTTCACCATCCTCAGAAAAACTTCTGGAACAATCATGACAGGGCTGCTAAACTTCATCTGTAGCATTTTATGTAGATATTGAATGTCACATGGACTTCCATGTTTGCATGGTTTGTCTTGAGACTACTTATACCTGCCATCCATCCATCCACCCATCCATCCATCTTCCAGCTGGTTATCCAGTATAAGGTTGGCATGAGTTTGGACCCAATCCCAGGCAGCATAGGGCAGGAGGCAGAAGACTGGACAGCATGCCAGTCCATCTGAGGGCACACACAGTCACACACGGTCTCACACCATGGGCAATTCAGAGACGCCAATTCACCTAAGGGCATGTTTTTGGGCTGCAGCAGGGAAGCAGAGTGCCCAGTGGAAGCACACAAACCCCACACACATTCTAAAACATGGAAATGACTTTTGACTTTTTGACTTTGACTCAGACATACTGTATATATCTGAATATCCAAGTCTGAATATTATAGGGTGGAATTCTTAGAACTCTTTACCTACATATTTTTATTTGTTAAGGTTATGAGGTGTGTTTTTATTTATTGTAGCCTTACAGCACATTTAAAAACATATTAAGCTGTAGCTTTTTTAAAGAAGATGGAAGTTTGATGCCTTTTATACAGGACTAATGTTTGGTTCTCATCATTTTAGGGTGAAAGACAACATGTTTTTTTAAATTCCATCCATCTTCCATGATCCATTTATCCAGTTGTTTGGCACTGTAGGCTGGGGGTCTGTCCCAGGAAACGCAGGGAATGAGGCGGAGGACACCCTGGATGGAGTGTCAGGCCATCGCGGGACACACACTCATACTGTGAGCAATTTAGAAACAGCAATTTAACTAACTGCTCATGGACTGTGGGAGGAAACCGGAGGAGCCAGGAAGGAATCAGGGGAGAACACAAGTAGAATATAGGGAGAACATGCAGAACACAGGAAGAACATGCAGAACACAGGGAGAATACAGTAAGAGGGAGAACAGAGTTACAGAGAGAAAGAATACAGAGAGAACACAAAGACAATGCAGGGAGAATACAGGGAGGATACACAGAATACAGGAAGAACATTCATAACACAGGGAGAATACATGGAGAACACAGAAAAAACAGGGAAAGCATGCCGAACACAGGAGGAACATTCAAAACACAGGGAGAACAAAGGGAGAATACAATGAAAGGATGAACAGATGGAGAACAGCGAGATAACAGAAATAATTTCAGGGAAAACACAAAGAGAATACAGGAAGAATATAATGAGAATACAGGGAGAACATAGAGAATACGGGAAGAATATAATGAGAGCAGGGGAAGAACATAGGGAAGACAGGAAGAATATAGGCAATACAGGAAGACTGTAATGAGAAGACAGGAAGAATATAGGCAATACAGGAAGAATATAATGAGAAGACAAGGAGAACATAGAGAATACAGGGAGAATACAGGAAGAATATAATGAGAACACAGGGAGAACATAGAAAATACGGGAAGAATATTATGAGAGTCGAGGAAGAACATACGGAATACAGGAAGAGAGGAAGAACATAGGCAATACAGGAAGAACATAATGAGAAGACAAGGAGAACATAGAGAATACAGGGAGAATACAGGAAGAATATACAGGTAATGAGAACACAGGGAGAACATAGAGAATACAGGGAGAATACAGGAAGAATATAATGAGAACACAGGGAGAACACATGTAGAGCTGGGGGCAAGAATTGAACCCGCAGGACTGGAGGTGTGTGTCTGAATTGCCCACCATGTAGCCTTCCTGTTGTTTTACCTATAATTTCTTTTTTTCAATTGTTTTTCTACAATAGATACTTCAGCTTCATTTCCTGTCCCTCCACTCAGCTGAGCTTTACAAATATATGTACAGAAATCCATCTCGCTGAGCCGGGGGCCAGGCTGACCGGAGACAGAGAGAGTAATAAGCTTTAACTGCGCGCTCGGTTCCGATTCATCGCTCCCTGCTGGCCGCCGCGAGGCCCGCGTTCGCTTTCGGGCCAGTTTGGTTCTGTCAGTGTGCCCTTTGGACCCTTCTGGACCAAGGAAAGCTATATGCAGAACCAGTCATGGAAGCACAATCTCCGAGGGCCGGCTTGACTTCAGCCTGGTGTCCGAGTCTGAAGCGAATCTTAAAGTTGCCCCACCCCCATTCCCTATTACAGATGCATTTGTTCTCACCCCCTGGGGGGGCAGATTAATGTCCTATTTAAAAACAACAGGCTTTTCCTTGAAACAATATGCATCTCACTGGCACAGGTAAGCTTTTTAAATTTATTATAATGATTCACTTTAGAGCCCCGTGTGCTGCTCTGTGTGACCTCACACACATGGGGGGATGGGGGGGGGCTACGCATTCACAGGTTATAATGAGAAAGAAGCCACTGACCCTGGGTTAAATCTGGTTAAAAGCATAACGTCCAGTTCTAGTTAACAACACTATAGCACAATTGTGTGAAACTCGCACCTTTAATACTTAATGGTGTGTATTATCTTTTAATTCTTTTAATACTTTATTCATACTGTGTAGGAAAACCTATCCAAATACAAGAATAAGTAAAATCAATAAATAAACACTGCAGCTCGGCACTGGATAAGTCATTAGGGAAGATTTGTGGATGCATAAATAAATATATAGTTATATAAATAGATACTACGACTCGAAATAAATACACCAAATATATAAAAGAGGTTCTTCCTAAGTTTATATGTGCATGTTTTAGTATAATATATTAGTAGCTGAATTAGCTAAATTGAGAAATATTTGCTATGTAGCTCAAAACATATGATTCCTATTTGCTGGTGTCTGACTGCATCTCTGCACTAATAAGGATGTAGTAAATTATGGGAACTGGAGGCCATGTGATTTCCGGCATTTTCTACTCACCACCACGCCCCAAGTTGTCACAAAGCACACCAGCATATGGCTAATTGCAGCTCCGCTATCTGCGAGCCGTCCGTCAGGGCTTACAAAGCAAACACAGCCTACCTAAACAACGGCAGAAACTCAGCCAGTGGTTCCAGATTTTATCTTGCAGCCAAAACAAGTCGTCGTACGTCAAGCGCTTCACTCTCTGCAGTTTGCGTTTGAAAGACTTTTTTTTTTTCCCATAGAATATTCTAGCATTCCAGTAGCTGAACAGAGCTTAATATCCTCAGGTGAGGTGTGTTACACTTAGTCTCGTGTGGTAAAAACACTGTTATCCTAAGGCTACATTTCAATTGTAATGTTTTTTTTTTATGATTAGAAGGATCTGTTTTTATTTTGAGGGTATATTTTATGCGTAATACCGATTTCTACAAATGAGTACACGTACCTCATAAAGCAGTTTATGGCTACGTCCCCGGCCGCCGTGACATGCATGGGAACCAAGCTAAGGAGGAATTCACCTGAGCTGACGCAAGAGCCTCACAAAGAGCCGCTGTATATAATCTCCTAAACAGATGGCGCTGATGAATAATGCCCATCTGACATGACGGCAGACAGAAGTCGTCCACAGAGGACCTGGCCATCGTCTTGGAGCAAGGTGCTGCCCCCGACTCACCTCGCCATCCGCCACATCCAATCCGAGGGGCATCTGGTGCTGACGGCGGGCACTGCCCAGTTCTGCCCGGAAACGGGTTTGGGGGAGAGGTGAGGGGAACCAACGGGAAGCCTGTCACTTTAAGTGACAGAATTAGCAAAGTCCTGTATCGGTTATGGGAAGGTCATTTTATTTTATACAGCACAAAGCACAGGTTGGCTTTGAGAAAACAGCACAAACATGGACTGGAGAATTTGGGGGGGTGGGGGGTATCTTTTGGTGCATCATTAAGAATGCAGTGATGAATGATCACAAATAAATCACCTACAAGTATATTCATGCCAACTGAAAAAAATAACAAAATCCTTAATCATAGCCATGATTTTTAAAACCAAAAGTGCAAACCGATTAGCTGAATCCCCCCGAAAGTGAAAAGTGAAAGTGACTGAGATTGTTGACACACCACAGCACACAGTGGATAACAATGAAATGTGTCCTCTGCCTTTAACCCATATGTGACATCGTGACATAGCGAGGGGTAGCTAATTCAGCACCCAGGGAGCAGTGCGTGGGGGCGCTACCCTGCTCAGGATTCCTGTGGTGTTTTGCTAATTGGGGACTCGAACCAGCAACCTTCTGATCACATGCATGCTTCTTCAGATGCATTCCCCAGCACAAATTTATGACTTGTTTGGAATCTAGGCATTATTTTCCTAACAAAAAAATGTGACAGAGACAATTAATTGTGACAGAGGCATACAGCTGGAAAAAAGTGGAATATCATGACCAGAATTCTTCCTTTGTACTAATATGGTACTAAAATAGTACTAAAGCCTTGACTTCCTTTGAGTAACTCTGACAGAAAATGTGAGGAGCAGAGGCATCGTTTACAATGTCCTCATGGATATAATATTTGAGAGGTTACTTCTGACTCCCAATCGCTTTTTGTTCTCGTTCTAGGGCTACATTCTCCAACTACAGGTAACGACCGGGTACGGACGCCGGAACGAGGCATCTGAGACCACGGAAAGTTTACACGCGTTTAATACCTTCGCCGGCATGGCGCTCACATTCACATGACTAAAGAAAATAAGAGAGGCAGCTTGGACACTGGGGCGCCGTCGAATGGCCGCAAACCCTCCCCCTGTATGGTTTGCACTGGGCACAGTAAAAAAAAAAGTAGCTATGAAAACTGATGGATAGATGGCTGCCCAAATAAAAATGATAAAGTCCTCCGCGGGCCCCGTTGCGCTGGCGAGGGCCCGTACCGCTGCTTCCTGAACCAATTTTAGCAGAGATCAGAATGATGGCTCCTGTCAAGCTGTCCGCGTCCCTGCCTGAAAAACGCCAGCCCCCCCTCCCCAGCCCTTGACCGCCACCACAGTCCGCAAAAGGATTTGTTTTTTATTTACGGTGACAATATAATTGGGATAATAAAGACCGTAGGCCACATTAAGAGCGGACTGGCATATTTACTGTGCGTGAACCTGCCCCCCCTCGCTGCCCCCCTCCCTCTGAAGATCAGGTCCTGCTGCACGCCACAGGTGCAGAGTTTTACATGGGGGGAGATTTACGAGGGCAGCAACTTAGGGGCTGTGAGGGGGCACACTGCCCTCTCTCAGATAACAGCGACTCTTGGGCTGGAGGAGGATTCACAGGGCGGGACTTTTAAATGAGCACAAATGGGTTGATTACCTCCAGACTCCCCCCCCCCACCACTCCCCCATTCTCAGGGCATGTTGGGACTTCTAGGCTGAATACATAATATGGAAAGTCTACTGCTGTATGTCATGACCTAGTGACATTATCACATTCAGGTCATTATTTGTGTCTCGTTAATATAAAATGTACTAACACAAGGGATTCTTTTTTTTAATTACTAACAGTTTTTTTTGTTAATTACTACTGTAAACAATAATTTTAATACTATTAATAATGTTAAAATATTCTGAATATCATATTATGCTGGTGCATTTTTAATTTAAACTCATAGAATTTGCTCTGTTTGGTGGCGATGAACTGTAACATTAAAGATTGCGCTGCAGCATCATAATTCAGCCATAATAAACATTAGCCGTAGCTACACCACATTATTTCGTTAACCCCATAAATGTATTTGTTTTGCCATCGTGCAGCTGTTGTAGATAGATGCCAGCAGTTCTAGAACAGAGTTAACAGGAGAGGAGAATCCCTCTGAGGCAGCGTTTCGAAGCTTGTCTGAAAACAAAAACCGTTTTAGCCCGGTTTAAAGAGATTCACATATGGCTTTAAATATTATATTTATGTCTGTAAAACAAGGCTGCATGTCAGACTGGAAGAGAAAAGTGTGATCTCTGATGCTCCATTCATAATGTAAAAAGAGTTTATTAAAGCTTTGAAACAGAATCCCGTTTACAGGAAATGGTTCTTTTTTTTTTGAAAGAAAAAAAAAAATCCAACTGCTCTCTTTGATGCCCGACTGCATGTGGTTGTGGAAACATCTTTTGAAAACCTCGCCGGCACCGATGGCTTTTTCTACAAACCTGACATACGTTTTTAAATGGCCAAAAATAATTAATTTCACCCGGGAGATTTGCTCATATGAGAGATTTAAGTTACTGTTTGAGAAGGAAAAAAAAGGAAAGGTAAGAGAATGTGCTCAGCTTCTCTGTGTAGCGGGAACGAGCCAGTTTGTTATGGTAATACCGGTGAAAAGACCAAACGGAGAAAGCCGGCTCGGAGGAAACCGTGTTTTTATTTCCACCTGTTCTTCCCATTATCCCGATGTTGTGTGTCGTTTTTTTATTTTGTGCCTTCTCGAGCCAGATCATGGGGATACTTCAAATAAATAACCCTAATGGCAATATCATCCAGCAGGCCTATAACTTTATCAGCCCGACGGCATCTTATCCAGCTGATATACGACCCCTCGTTTGGTGAACGCTATCCTGGGTGGGCGAGTGAGGAATTGTTTGGTAGTGGGATCTGGTTGTTTTAATCCTGCTCTTTTCTTTTTTTTCGATTGAATCCTAAGGTGCGGGGAGAAAAAATCTGAAATAATTTCCTGGCAGAGAAAAATTTCTTTTTTTTGGTCGTTAAAAAAGTGGAATTATGGGTAAGGTGCAATTCCAGCCAATCTGACGGCGAGTTTAAGAAGCATGTATTGGCACGGTGATAACCGATCCGATACCCTTGTGAAAATATATTTTTCAGTACAAGAATTCATAAATCATAAAAAAAATTCTAAAAACGCAGCAACCGTGATGAAGCGTGTCTGAGGACAGGCCCTGGTGATAAACAAGCCACGTCACAGTGTGTGCGGATGGTACAGATGTCACAGCAGCGAGGAGGAGGGGCAGTTTGCGGTAATGTAACGCTGCTGCTCTACGCAGCGGCAGCAGAGAGGCCGGCCCCGGGGCCTCCTGGGCTCCGTAAGCCGGTGGCAGTCCGCTCCATCACCTGCCTCCGCCCTGAACTCTGGCTGAACCCCAGGCCGGCACCAGCCGTTGGGTCTTTATTCCTTGGCATCTGTCTCTCTCCCGTAAGAGACATAAGGTAAGGCGCCCCCTTTGTCTCCCCTCTGCCCGGCATCTGCCACGCCATCTTTGCCGTTTTTAATAAGGCTCGCTAGTGGCCCCCCTCCCCTGCCGGTACGCCCCGCGTGGCCACAGAGAACGAGGGGTTGGAATACGGGGCCGGTGGGGGGGGGGAAGGGGTGTGCGCAGAGGTGAGAATTCGGTAGAGGGCTGGAAAACAAGACTCGCCCGCCTTATTGCATCCTTCCATCGCCCCCCTGTCTTTCCACACTGCCCCACATCTTTTCTCTCTCTCCCTCTCCCTCCATCTCTCTCCCTCTCCCTCCATCTCTCTCCCCTCCCCTCCACAAACACGCCTGCTACCCTGCCCTTTCCTCTTCAAACTAATTACCTCGGCTACCTTGTACCCACAATCCCAGGGGACGCCAACAACTGTCAGACCAGTATTATTTTTGAAATTTAAACAATCATCTTACGTGTGCTGCCGCTAAGATCCTGGCCTTTTCTGCGGCTTCGACCTTCAGTAATTAATACCCCAGGGCCCATTATTGGCAAAGCCTTTATCCTTTGGGCCAAGAAGCCTCTAACCCGCTAATTACGGGCAAGCAGCTAATCTTCCAGCCCTTGTGATTGACAGGTACACCTATTCTACTAATTGCCTGTTGCAGACAACACCTGGTGAACTGAACTGTCGAGGGAACCCGGATAGTACCGAAAACTCCTATGGGTCTTCCTGGCGGCTAGGCAAGTTTTTGTGCAAGTGTGTGTGTGTGTCCGTGTGTGTGTGTGTGTGTCCGTGTGTGTGTGTGTGTGTGTTTGTATGCACTTAAAGCTGATAAAGAATAAAAAAAGGCAGAGCTGAGCTCCAGGCCTCCTGAGCAGAGACTGTCGCAGAGAAACAGAGGATGAACTTTATTTTATTTAGGAATAATTCAACAAACAAAGCAAAAAAAAACTATATAATATTTAACACCAGCCTACATTTTTATCTGCTTGGTATGAAACGCAATAATATAAACCCCAGTTTTAGGATTTGAATAAAACGCTGTTTGAATTTGGTACTGTATGTGTCTGTTACTGAAAATAAAATGTGAAGAGTTTTGCTCAAAAAAACTTGAATGGAAAGCGAGGGTCTGGGCCGGCATTGGTGCAGTGGTTAGCTCTGTCTCCTCACACCTCTGGGATGTGGGTTCAAGCCCCCACCAGGGTTTCATGTGTGTCGCCATGGGCTTTCCGCCAGGTACTCCAGTTTCCCGCCCCCCCCTCCCACAGTCCAAAAACATGCTGAGGGAAACTGGAGTTACCATAAGTGTGCTTGTGTGACTGAATGGTGTGTGAGTTTTGCCCTGCGATGGGCTGACGCCCCATACTGGGTTGTTCCTCTCTTTGCGGCTGTAGGCTCCGGACCTCCGGACCCCCCGTGACGCTAAAGAGAGCAAACGATTACAGAAAACAGAGAGATGGTAAAAGTCATCAAAATAGGGTAACGATTAAATGTCAGTTCTACAGTAGGGCTGATTGCAGAGTCTCAAATAGCAAGTAAGTTTTGCCCTGTGAACAACTGAAAAGTCTCATTGTAAATGCATTGCATCTATAATCCTGGTAGCACCTGCAGAATTATAAATGTAAATATCTTTTTTAGAGATAACTATTATATTCAACATAGATTTAGAACTTTGTGTCAGTGCAGAGAATTATGGGAAAACCATGCAGGACTCCCCAGGTACCCAGACATCACGCATACGAAAACAAACCCGGCTAACAATGAAACAGACAATCAAAGTAAAAAAATAAATCACAGATCGAAAAAATCAAAATGCAAAAGAATATTTAACAGTAAAACATAAAGTAAAGGAAAATTATACCAATTAAACATTCATACATTCATCTTCCATAATTGTCTGTCCAGTACGAGCCAGTACAATATAAATGAAGGGGAGAAACAGTTGGATGTAAATGAAGAAAGGAGATCATGAAGAGAAAAGAGCAACAGGAGGAGACCGACATGGATGGACAGGAGAAACGGCAAAACATGGACAGAGAGGACAAGGAAAAGGACATGAGGACAGGAATATATGGAGCTGAAAAAAAGGAGAATAAAGGTAATATACAGCAGAGACAGGAGGACAAAGATGACAATGTACAGGAGAGACAACAGGACATAGAGAGAGAGGAAACAGAGGAGGACATGGAAAGACAGCAGGACATGGATGGAGAGAAGAGACAGGAGGACAAAAACAATGTACAGGAGAGACAGGAGGACAGAGATGAAGAAGAGAGACAAATGGACACAAATGGAGAGAAGAGACAGGAGGACACAGGTATTAATGTACAAGAGAGACAACAAACATGGCCTGAGAGAATGAAGAGGGGGACATGGATGGAGAGACCAGAGAACATAGAGAGGAGAGACGGGAGGACATGGAGATGAGAGATGGGAGGAACATAGAGAGGAGAGACGGGAGGACATGGAGATGAGAGATGGGAGGAACATAGAGAGGAGAGACGGGAGGACACAGATGGAGAAGAAGTTGGAGGACATGGATGGAGGGGAGATAATGGAGAACATGGATGGAGAGAGAGCCTCTGGTGACGCCTTGCAGGGGAAGTAAGTGCAGTGAAGGACACTGCAGGCAGTAGCATGGCCTGGGGGCACGGTGACGCCTTGCCAGCTGAGGAAGAGAACACACATCCCCCACCCCTGGGGGGCCACTCAGCATCTCCCTCCCCCAGCTTCCAGCTTAGTGGGGCCCACTGCTGGTACAAGGATGATACGGACAATGGGTGGCTGTAAATAACACTGCAACATAATTACTGTTCCCGCCCCCCCCAAACGCACCCCCATACACTGTACCTACCGCTACAAACCTTTCACGCTATGTGAGAGCAGCTGCTTTATTTAAAACATACCATTCACAACCTGAGCTCTGATAAATCAGCCACGGGGACGGAACGACAGGAAGACTGGATGTGTACCTCTTTGAAGATCAGTTTGGAAGGTGATTAAATTATTCAATGGCATGTGAGACATTCGCCTTGCAGTTTGTCAGGGAAGAAGCAATTGATCTCACACATAAGTTGTAATTTCAAGTTAACAGACGTGATAATTAAGATATGATCTTTTTTCTTTTTTTTTTTTTTGCTGTTGCATGTTGCTGAGACTTATCCCAGGGAAGTGTAAAGATCAAGAAACGTAAACTCTTAAAGGAGAACTACTACATTCCCAGCAGGGTCCTGTTCTGCCACTTTGAGCATCGCCAGTGTGCATCTGGGCCTGGGCGCTCCTTTCGAAGCTCGCCCGCCATTCCGCTAGGGGCCCGGATGAGGGCCCGACCGGAAAGCAGGATCTGGGGCTGGCCGGCCTCTGAGGGACGCGATTCCCCAGCCGTTGTTCGTGAACAGGAAGAGGCCCCAGGGAGGGAATTCAGGTTCCCATGGGAAGCTGGGGGCCAGTGAGGCAGCAGACAAACATCCCGAAACACTTAAGACGCTTTGGAAAAAAAAAAGACATTCTGGCCAGCAGCCAGGACTAAAAGCGGCTTGTTTACAGTACGGCCGTGATGGACGTTTGCGGCGAGGAGGCGATTTCAGTTTAAAACAACGGCAAGGCTTCTCCATAACCCCCAGTCACGCTCTCACGGTGCCACATTAACCCTCAGCGATACGTGACGGAGGTCCCAGGTAGAGGCAGTGTAGAGGCAGTGTAGAGGCAGTGTAGAGGCAGGTCGTTTGGCTCGCCTGGGCTTTCTGACACCCTTTAATGCAGCTTTAACTGGAGCCCGAGGCGTGTGCGCCAGGGGCCCCTGGAGGGCCCGCACCACC